TGTCCATCAGGACTTTCCCTCTCATCATATTTCTATTATTTGATGGGACAGAACATTGTACGTTACAATGACTGCAAAATGTTATATTTGGTCTAACTTGCACAGGTTGTTAATTTTATGTATTTATTTTTTTAAGGTCTCTTCCTTATTTTAGGCTTGATGCTGTACCCTGCAGGTTGGGGCTGTCAGAAGGCAATAAGCTATTGTGGACATTATGCTTCTGCTTATAAACTAGGAGACTGCTCACTGGGCTGGGCCTTCTACACAGCAATCGGTGGTACTGGTCTGACATTCATCTGTGCCGTCTTCTCAGCACAAGCAGAAATTGCCACATCCAGTGACAAAGTGCAAGAAGAAATTGAAGAGGGGAAAAACCTTATCTGCCTCCTTTAAATACAATGGAAAAAAAATCAATTGGTGCCTGAGAAACACAGACTTCAATCTATTTTGGTTTTAAATAACTTCCTAGAAAGATCCACATACAGGCTTTCACGATTTACGTGATTAAGCCTTATACAATCTTGCCTTGAACTACTGAAGCAATATTCTATCACTTGCTGGGCAATGAGGACCAGAGGAAAGGAGGATCTCAAGCAAACAGAGTGTAGAGATGTGGAAATTTTTGGTGTGACTACATTGTCAGGACTCAGCACAATATACAATTTGAGAGTGAGGCGGGGAATGTATATAATGAATAAACGTTATGTACCTGACAATTTCTGATTTGATCAGATTGCATTCTCCACCTTGGTCATTTTGAAGGATCTGCATTAAAATAATAAAAGCCAGCGTATTTCTACTATGAACAGGACTAGCCTATTTAATCAGGTTTTGTTTTCAAGGGCTTCACTCACTCGTGAACATTTTACTGCCATGTGGTTTGGTACTATACTTTACATAGTGATGCTTGTTGAGTTCTAAAATGACAAAGCACAACAGTACTTTCTGGATAATTAAATGCATGACAGAGAACAGGGCTGAGTATTAAACTGTAAAGAAATTGAGGCAGTGGCTAAAATTATTTAGTTTGTTCTGGCATGAAATATCAGTAACAAGTTTGTAGGTACATTATATTTTAGCAGCTAGACTTGTAATTAAATTATTTTTGTCTCAGAGTGGAGCCAGGGGAACTGTTGTTATGCTGGGGTTTACCTATATAAGATACAAATAGTAGAAGTAATGCTTTAGTATCTAATGTGTGAAACACTGAACTTTGATATAGAAATGGTGCATTTACTAGCAATCCTAGGAGGAAAAACACAATTTTCTCTCTGCAGCACAGAGTTGACAAGGTTATTTTGTGAATGCCAACAAATGTTGACAGTGCCTCACTCTTCCGTAAAAATATGAATTGTATATTTAACTTACAATATTTCTCTGTTTGCCAAAAGAAACCTCATTCTGATTCTATGGACCAACACCATCCTGTGTCTAAAAGCCAGCTTAGTCTGTAACAGACACTCACTCAACAGAATACAATGTCAATGTCAAATTCTAAATGTGTTTTTCACTTGTTTTAATTATATTTGTTATGGACCCATTTCCAGAACAATCAGCAGAAGCAGAAATATGGTGCGCCACAAATGACATTCCTTTCCAAAAAGCATTCAGTTTAGGCAAATAACTTGTATTGGTTCTCCAATTACTGGAATTGTTCTTTAGAGTAGATTAAAAGGATATTAGAAGAAAGAATACTGAACTTTATTGGGGATGCATGAGTACAATGGAGGATTTATTTAATAGATAACTATTCACTTGATATTTGGTTGTAAAATTTAATTTGATAACATTTTGATTTTGATGGAGAAATACTAGCATGCACTGAAGTCTGAGTTTAGTGTTAAAAAGCTATACAGAACCACCAGACGTGGCCACAAGTTCTCTCCATTTTTCTGTAACATTAAAAATCAAATAACTTCTCTAGCTAGAGACTTATGATTAGTCCCTGGATTACGTGAGGTGTGTGTGTTTTTTTTTTTTTTTTAAAGGACACCAATTTAGTATAGAAACATGTGAAAGTTTTTATTTTTGCTGCATCTCTCTTGACCAGAGTTGAGGGAAATGCAGCTTGCATTAACCATGCATTGTCAATGTTAACCATTAAATGTAACGTTTCTTTGAAGCTCATACAATCCCTATGTGCTCTTTGAACTCTTATCAGCTCCTGTAAAAGTCTCCTTCCCAGCATACTTCGTTATGCAGAACACTTCTTTAGAAATAATTGATCTGTGTGAGAGATTCTAGTAAGGGCTGAGGCCTCAACTATAAAGATTTAAAAAGACAATGTTGCTATCTTTTTAATAAATGGGTTCTAAATGCCAGTTGGTGATAATGTTGCCTCTTAATAATCTGACAATTTACTTTCTAAACTGCAATAATTTTGTTCTGGTCTGTTCCTGCCCTTAAGAGTGCCATTTGTGAAGTATCCAAAACTAAGCCCATACATAGCAGTGCTGCTGACACTTTGTTCTCCTGTGCACATTTGTAATGTCAGAGCAGAACGCAGTGTTGGAAAAAAAAAGGAAGGGGATGAGAGTTTTGCCCTGTGGCTGGCATAACACACTGCACATCATTGTGAGAACCCAGCCTTTCCTCTTGATAAACTAGAATCACACTTGAGAAACCTGTGTTTCCCACCACTCCGTACACTGCACACTTACACTTATAAAGCGGGTAACTCACTTTTCTTTTAATATAAAATAATGCTATGGGCTGGAACCATTTATGCCAAAAGTATGTTTTTAATCAAATTATAACCACTTGCGAAAACTGGTGAATTATGGCAAAATTGGAGCCAGAGCATCAAAATTTGCCTTATTTGAACTTGTGTTCTTTTGACGTATTTCCTTGTACATACACAAAATACCTTAGGAAAGCAAATTCTCCAAATTTTCAAGCATATTATTCATGTGGATGAATCCAGTTTAAAAAAAGCAACCCTGTAAGAATCATCTTCCCTTAGAATACAGATGCAAGGTTGATTGATTGATTGATCTACAGCAGTGGCTACTTTAGAGCACTTCACCCAACTGGCTCAATACAACTGGGGCACTTGAACAGCTATGATATGGAACTTTTACTCAAAAGAGTGTCTTAAGTGCTGTGAACAGCACATGGAATTGAAGGCAAAGATAACATATATTTTAAATGGTGTGATTTGTTTTTCCTTAGGAAGATAGTATGCCAATGTTAAAAATCACTTTCACCAAATCATGACACGATCTCAATATAGTGTCACAAATATGTTTAAATGCCAAGTACTATATGAAGCAATGACAGATTACTGTTTTCAAAGGTGTAGTGCAATGCTTACTTGGATTGGATTGTGCATGCTCCACGTACTGTGTGAATTAAAAAGTGAACAATGTATTAGGACATAACTGTTAAGTCTTTACAATGCTGAAAATGCTAATGTTGGGTTTTATAGTATTGTGCATAAAGGACATTTGTTTTGCATGTGGTTTTCTGAACACTTAAGCTTTTATTATTGTACTGGGATAACATCAAACTGATCTAATCAACTCAATAGGTCATACAAACTCAGTGACTAGCAAAAAGGAAGGCATGCTAAGAAGAAACAAACCAGATTTGCTTGCTCAGGGTTCTGTTTTCTAACATGTGCTAGGATGACTTATTAGATGAAGATTTTCTAAAGTAGTTTTATAATATATGACACACTCATTTTTTATGGCTGCTGTTCCTGAATTTCACCTCTCCAGAGCAGGGGGCCTTCCAAAACAACATATGAAAATAATTTCTTTTGTGAGCCTCAAGCATGTTTAGTTTGTTTCAGGATGGGCCATACACCATATTTTCTTAATGTACATGTAGTGCTTAGGTGCAAGGAATGTTTGATGTGGCAGCTTTAAAAAAGAACCTGTCTGGCTAACTCACTCAAAATCATAGCATACTGACTTTGTAATTGTCAGAGATAGAAATGTTCTTTAAATATCTGTTGTTTGATCACCTTTATAAACATGTTCTGTAAAGTACCGTAGTCCTTTTTGGAGTGTAGCAAGCATGTGCGCATGCACACACGCACACACACGAGAGATGTGCAATAACATACATTTCTTTTTTTATTGTGCTATGCTTTAAAAAGGGACTGACCAGCAAAGTATGGTTGGAGTTTGTTCTTGGATAAACGTATTTCTATGGAATCTGGAAATAGATAACACTGATTATAGTTTAAAGGTTTAGCTAAAATCTCTTTTCTAGATTCATTTGAAATGCTCAGAGCTGGATAATCCAGGCCTGATTTATTTAAATCCTATTTACAACTGTGAAGCTGCATCCATGCACAGTAATCTTAACAACAAAAAGTTGAAAAGCTCAACAGTGCTTGATATCTTTCTATATGCTCTATTGACTACTAGGCCCTGATATCAACATTGCTACTATGCTACAGTCTAGGTCAAATACCATCTTCTTGCTTAATGAACACTTAAGAACCTGTGGGTCTGGGGATTTTCAAATTATTTAATTTTGCATTAGTATTTAATATCAGAATATCCCCATTCCTAGTTTTAAATGCAGGAATCAGCAGTGGCTCTTTTGTGAAGACAATGTGACACACCAAACACCTGGGCAGTAATGCAGGCCTTTAGCTGTATAGAATTCCATAACTGAAGCAAAAATCTGCCTAGGATTGTAGGCTGTGGTCACATACCCATGGTACTGCTGTTGAGTGACCAGTGCTTTGTGTAATGTTTTTCAGCACTAATTAGGTACCCAGTAACATCTGTTTTTATCATCTACAGATGACAAGGGGGAGTTTGTAAACTGAATTACTATTAATACAGGTCTGATTACTTTAGTTTGAATAGGTTTAGATAATTTACGGCTGATCAAGATGCATACATTAAGAGATTTATACTTAGAAAATTTACATTAGGCCATTGAGATTTTACAATTACACTGTGCTACCATTTACATATTGATCACTATATTAAAATAGCAGAGGAGTAGCCGAGTTACAGACTAACTGGAAAAACTTAAAAAATGACAAATAGTCTTGCAGCACCTTAAAGACCAACAAAACATGCAGATAGTATCATGAACTTTCATGAGCACAACCCACTTCTTCAGATGAAAAGAGTATTAAAAGTCCAGTTCCAAAATAAATAGGGATTGGGGCACATGGGAGGGGAGAGAAGGAAGGCGGGGGGAGGGGGGGGAGGAGGAGAGAGAAGAGTAAATTAGAGTGTTCATGTTACATGAAGCAGATAAGAATAATTTGCACCTGCTCTCTTCCATTGTTTGATTTTTTAAGTCATTAGGATGCGGAAGGTAGGTGGCTAGCCAGTGCAGTTTTCACTTTTCTGGGTGAGTATGAAAAAACAAATTGACAGAGCCAGAAGAGTACCCAGACATGAACTATTTCAAAACAGGCCAAGACGACCTACGCCTCACAACTTAAACCCTTCCAACGCATTATCAACGATCTACAACCTATCCTGGAAAATGACCCGACTCTCGCAGGCCTTGGGGAAAAAGGCCAATCCTCACTTACAACCTCCTAACCTTAAATGCTTTCAGTAACCACATAGCACACCTCCATCATAATCATCCAGGAATACACCCCTGCAAACAGCCCTGGTGCCAACTCCATCCACACATCTACACAAGTGATTTCCATCACTAGAACCAACCACATCAGCCACCAAATCAGAGATTCAACTGCACATCCACTAATGTGATCCATGCCATCAAAGCTCCTCAGCAACGTATATTGGCCAAACTGTACAGTCTCTGTGACAAAGGATTAATGGATATAAATCAGATATCTGAAAAGGCAACACACAGAAATCTGTTGGAGAACACTTTAACCTGCCTGGGCACTCATTAATGGATCTCAAAGTCACAGTGTTGTTTCAGGCCAATTCCACAAGCCAAATACACAGGGAAGTCTTGGAACTTAACTTCATTTACAGGTTTGGGACCCATCACAAAGGTATGAATAAAGACATTGCCTGGCTAGCATGCTAGTTTCCACTTCCTAACGACTTAACCAACCACCAATGGTTACTTAAGAACATTTGCACCTTCTCTATCAGTTTCATGTAACATGAACACTCTAATTCACTTTCCCCCCCTCCCCCATCCGCTATTTATTTTGGAACTGGACCTTTAATAACTCCATTTATCTGAAGTGGGTTGTGCCCATGAAAGCTCATGAGTGACGTTTTGTTCTAAGGTGCTGCTAGACTATGTTATTTTTTAATATTAAAACACTTATTTCTTCTCATCCATAGACTTCAATGCACTTTATAAAAGGAGAGTAAGTAGCCTATGCATTTTACAAGTAGAGAAATTGTTAGAATTGTCAACAAAAGCCTGGATTCATCACTGCCATTGTAATGCTACTGAACAATACTGCCTCCATGGTGGCCTCCTGTTAAGCGTTTACCATGTTCTGACATCAAGTTAGCACCAGGTAGTGCAATAAAAAAAAATCACCTCCTTTAAACCACTCAGGTTAATTTATTTTACTTTTAACAGGACAGGACAGAACAGTCTGAAAAGGGAAAATGTTTCTAATTCTACAAGGTGACAGGACTCGTGTGAGGTTTAGTTCCTTAGAACCTGATTCTGTATCCACAGTTTTAAGAAATGAAGAACCCACAACTGATGGCAAGTTAGCTCTCAACTCAGCAGAATCTCTGTTAGATATCACTGTAGAGATATGTCTACATGTCTGCTTCCTTTTTACGGTAACAAAACAACCTGTATTCCCCAAAGTATTTCACCTGCTGACTGTACTAAAGCTGCACAATGGTTTGATTTATGTAACTAAAACTAGTATGATTTTAACCTAGGTTAGTGGAGGTGGAAATTTGCAATTCAGAGCCCAAAACTCTAAAAAGCTCAGTGCTAACTTAAGATTTCATTATATGTCAGTGCAAAATTAACTCTTACCTGAGGATCCATAGACCGTTGCCTCCATAACACACGGTGTCTGTCTCATTCCACCTACTGGACAAACTGAAGTTTGTTACTTTAAGTAGGGTCATCTATTTGCACCTAAAGTGGCATTCGAAACCTTAAGCAACTGTAAACCTGCCTGAAGCCTTAAAGGGGGAAAAGGGTGGCACGAGGAATGGATTCTGAAGATATTTGCCATGTAGATAGCAAGTAGATAATTTAAAAAGTCGTTTCACACTGAATATGGAAGGTTATCCTTGAATACTTAGGACCATAGGTCCTATGGTCCCAGAGTGAACTTTGCCTAGCAGAAAAAAAGTGACAAAATCTATGGCTATTAGCCACTTTTAACAATAGTCAAAGACTGCAATGAGGTGTAAACTCAGTTGGCCTGGCTGGGAAAAGTAGCAGAGAAGAGAAAAAGCCATGTCAATTAACCCTGCCAATTCCAGAACAAGTAATTACAATGGGGAAAAAAAAGTGACATCTCTTCCTTCTATCTTGAATCACACGCTCCCCCAATGCAGACCTAACATGTCTAATTCTTCCCTGAGAAACATCAGAAAGACATGCAACGAAGACAACAGTCCTTCACCAATACTATAAGAAGTTCCCAATTGCCAGAGTTGACGACTTAAGTACCACGACTTGAACTCTAGTCTGAATTAAGTCGCCTAGGTGACTCGACTTGAGACTCGACTTGGGTTCAATCATTTGTGACTTGAGACTCGACTTTAGACTTGCTAATTTTGTTAAATCGACTTGGTGAAAAAACTGTCCAAAAATGTCGATATTGATGGCTTGTACAAAAGTGACTTGACATTTTTAAAATTAAGACTTGAGACTCGACTTGGACTTGACCATGACAACTTGAAGACAACACTGCCAATTGCACTACCAATGCCCAAAACATGGGCCAAGAGACACAGCTGCCAGTAAAGTATGGCTGACAGAATGACCAATGCACAAGTAATACATACTTCTTTCATTAAGTTAGTGTCAATTTTATATATGTGCCCTCTTAGCATCTCAAAAATAACAGATGTGGAAATTGTCAGGCTCAGGTTAAGCTGAAAATTCCAACAGCAATAGTAGTTTTTGTGATGAACAGTCACAAGTTCACAGATGCCTAAAGTGTTTCAAGGCAGCTGATCAATCCTCTAAAATCCATACAAGTGCTCTGGACAGACACCAATAGATTGAGGGCAGGAGCTACAGACACAAGGCACAAACACAAGACAGAACAGAAGCTTGTATTCCCTTTATTTTAACCTGGTTCTAGCTCTGGGCACCAAGGCCAGTCACTCCACTACTTTTTCCTAGCTCAATATCCAACTTCAATATAAAAAAAAATTTGCTTATTTTCCTATTCAGGATGTGAAAATTTCCATAAACTGAAATGCCAAATATTATGCATAAACATACAGACACTGTTCTTGCCAAGGCGGTGTACATGAATTCCTTGCTTTTTGTTTTAATAGGTGGTGTTACAACAAATAGTAATATGTTTAAAATAGCATAATTGATTTCCAGTGAATATCATATCCAGTCATTACCTGAGGAATTGGTACTGAGAGCGGGGACATACAACTTTTGGTTTAGGAAAATGTGAAGTGCTAGTTAGTAGCCGCCTATGCTGTTAGGCATTGGCATTGGGAAACCGCTTTCTTTTGGAACAAAAGTGAATACCATGCTTTCACAATATTTCTCATAAACTTGGGATTTCCATTTCAGAGCTAATACATAGCTAAACTATTATTCCACTATTTCAATAAGAGTAGATTACCTATGTGAAGGGTCAGAAGTATCTCATGGGGAAAAAAACCCCAAAACCATCACAAAAAATATGATTTTATTGCTGAAATGTAATTATCTTTACTTTTTGGAGGGCAACATTAGACAGACATGTATCTCCATTATATCTGTTCCATTCTTCCTTGTGCTTGATTTATTAGAATGTTTTCTGTTCAGGCTCATTTAGAGCCAAACTGCATTCACTTTATTAAGCTAGGTAGGACTAGTACACTGAAGAATAAAACAGATGTTAGGCTCCCATAAGACAGACACTCCCCATCACACATAATAAATACCTTGAGAATTTTTGTAAAAATTAAAAACATTTAAACATTTCCCATTAAGAATACATGTCCACATGGTTGCACCACTAAGCATATAGTAAGGCTATGTCTAGACGACAGAGGGTTTTTTTTTTTTTTTTTAAGTGGCCTTTTTCAAAAAACTTCACTTGCATCTATCTAGGCTGCCACCGCATTCTTTCAAGGTTACATCGAAAGAACGTGGCAGATTTTTGAAAGTGGTAAACCTCATTTTACGAGGAAGCACCCCTTTTTTCGAAAAAGGTGTTCTTGACCACAAACAGGGCTTTTTCGAACGAGAGCATCCAGATTGCCTGGGTGCCCTCTTTCAAAAAAGCAGATTGCTTTTTCAAAAAAGTTGTGGCTATCTAGACGATCTCTTTTGAAAGCTTCTTTCGAAAGAAGTGTGTAGTCTAGACGTACCCTAAGGAACTATTTTGACTATATTCTTCCTCTACAGCATTTATAATAATGAAGCTGAATGAAGGCATAGCTTTTAACTTTTTTTTAATTGTCTAAGTACTACAAAGTACTAGCAAAATCCTAGGAAGAATTAGATCCCAACAATAGGAAAACAAACATGATAACTGAAACCATGTTTTATTTCACCACTTCAGTGCTCAACCACAGCAATCACTGAGCAAACGTATTAAGAAAATTCTGAAATAAAAAATTAAATGGAGGATAACAGTACCATGTGCAAATCTAACCTACACAAATAGATAATGTGCTGTTAAAAATCTGGTGGTTTCTGCATCTCCAAGCACAAATTTTACAGATAATGCCTCTTTACTAACCAAAAGTGTATTTGTGAGAAAAAAAAAAAAGGTGATGGTGTTTTTCTAGCAGGGGATGGTAGTCAATAGATAAAAATCCTTTCCCAAGAAGAATATTGCTTTAAAGGGAATCTGTTAATCTGTATTTAAAAGTCATACCATGTCATGTTTTTGTAAGGAGTTTTCTGCTCCCCTGCTGATATTTGTTTATAAGGTCTTAGAGAGCACCCAGAGTGCTCATGCCCACCTTTCTTTCCCCTCCCCTACTATCAATGCACATGCCTTCCCTTCTGCCATTTTCTTCTGGCAATCCTCCACAGGCAGAACTTGGGGAACACCTGAGCATCTCAGAAGCAATGCATGTGTGTATTTTAATCCATTCTGATCTGAGCAAGGAAGTGCAAGTGTATTATAACTCACTATACTCAAAAGGCTTTTTTTTTCCTTCTGAATTTTATATAATGTAGAATAGTATGCCTAACATTTTTTAAAACTGAATTTATCCCTCTAAAGACATTAATCTGCTGCCAAAGCATCTAAATGCAGAGTAATGAGAGAGGAGGGAAACAGGGAAAATTGGCAATTTTGCTCCTGGATTAGGTGAGGTGTGCAACGGTCTTGAAAACATCACTTCTGATTAGACAACTGCCTAGAAAAAAAAATACTGGCTACATATTAGAAGAAGAGTATCACTGTAGTGTGCATTCTCAAAACGTTGTTGCAGTACAATGGTCTATATCAACTGTGAAATTAGCTGCTTACAAACCCTTAGTATAAAATGGTAATAAATTCAGTAACACTCCACAAAATAATTATGTTATACCTTAACACTTGAACAGAAACAGCAGAATAAAATGTTGATACAGAATTATCAATTCAGAAAAAAGAAAAATAAACAGTAGCAAAATCAATATTGTTTTCAGCAGTTTCATTTTACTTGCAGTAAAACCACAGGTAAGGTTTAATACTTGTAGAGATTCATTCAGTACTGACAGAGCATCTTTTATGTGTGTGAGAAATTTACAGCACAGGTGCAAAGTGCTGCAAGAGCTGCTGAAGTTTTCCTTCATGCTATGTGAGCAGTCCAATTCTAGTTATACACATTTGATTTTTGGTAGTGGACATATTACTTTCTCATTTCAGCAGATTACAGAATTTATATACAGATTATAAAAACCAAATGGTACTTTTATACAGAGCAGCCTTCCTGCATGTTTACCTGACCTTTTTAAAAAAAAATCTATCTTGTTTAAAACTAATCTGAGCAAACATCCAGGAAACAGTACTTTTATTTTATGACCTTATGTTAATACAATAAATATACAAAACTTGTGAACTATTCAGACATGCAACATCAGAGGGACAGAACCATGACATTCACTATGATGGTAGAGCATTGTTAGTACTTTACAAAATATATACAAACATCCCTCGGATAAATAAATCCAAATCCTAAATTACAGATCACTGACTATTGACATTCCAGTGTTTAAACTTCACTCTGAACAAAATTTGCCACAATACGACAAAATGACAATTAAGTGGATGTATACTGCATTAACTGATAGAAGACCAATACCTCTAAATTGAGTAAAAATATTTTAACAAACACCAGCCTTCAGATCTCAAAGCTAAAATGAGAATTTTTGTTTGAATTAGAAATATTCATACATACTAATTTTGTAACATTGTAGTTTTTTGAGTGCAGAGGCAAACATGATAAAAATAAGAATCATATATGCATATATTCTGAAAAATATAACTAGGCACATGCCTGTCAGTTTCAAGTTGTTTTTTAATATCGCCTGCTGATAATCTACTATTAAAAAATTTGACAATTTAACTGTGATGGTGTCCCTCATGAGAAAAAATAAAATGCTTAATTAAGGCTCACGATACACTCTTACAGGATTTCCTAGGTATAATTTTAATATTTGGTTTAACAGACTCGCAAAAGTAGGTTGTAGATCTAGAGAGACCTGAAAAAAATGGAAGCACAGAAAGGGGACCTTAAACTGTAAAACCGAAATTTAGAAGGATCATTAAAGATTAAACGGATTTTCAAAAACCTAAAACCTCCTCTACAGACTTCTAAAAAATGCTGGGAAAATCTTCTGAGAACATCCCTGTTACTGTTATTTCAATTGCATTGTTTACTCTATGAACAATATAATCGTGAACAACAACTTCAGTATAGGCCATATTATAATGCTTCCTTACCACATTTATCTTAACCACTAAAAATTTCTTTTCGAGACACGTTAGCAAACGACATATGTAATATGTATTTGTAATTTACTCAGATTTATGTATGCCAGTGCTACACTGGTCCAGGTATTACACTGGGTAAGGTTATTTTTTTAAATGTTCTTTTTTGACAAACTGAAAAGAGAAGAATATTCGTCTATCAAAACCAATTCACATTGACAGATGGGGCATCACTGGGTTTATCCATCTTAAAACCCTGCAGTTGCACTACTTCAGGAGACACACTAATGTCAAGAGGAGAAGTTCTCCCGGCAACACAGGGACTTCACCTCGCCAAAAGATGATCAGTAAGTTACCAGGAGAATTCTCCCACTGACCTAGTGCTGTCTATACTAGGAAATGAGGTCTGTTTCACTGCATCACTCACTGTTATGGATTTTCACGTCCCTGAATGACACACTTATGTCAACTGCATGTTCCAGTACATACCAGGCCTTAAGGTTCAGTCTTGCAGACTCCTGTTCATATGAGCAGTCACACTGATTTCAGTGAAAGTATTTATGTAAAACTGGGGATCAGGTCCTTCACTTTCTGAAACTGGTATTTAAAAGTTTTAAACTTAGTCCAAAGTACTACATATATCGTCATCCAATCAATCCACTCAACTAGGAATCTCCAATGGCCTTATATGTACAGTGGACAGCACATGATTTTGAAGCAAAAGCTGATAAGCATTTGGAAAATTAACATAAGCACCAGCATGAATCATGGTGCATCACAGCATCGGTTTAATCCAGTGGTCTCCAACCTTCTTAAGCATGAGATCACTTTTTCAATTGAAGTGCAATCCAGAATCTACCTTAAACCCAAACACCCTTGCCCCACCTTCTTCCCACCCTTTCTCCAAGGCCCCGCCCCTGCTCACTCCATCCTCCCTTCCTCCCCCATCCTCTCTCACTTTTATCAGGCAGAGGGCTGGGATCCAGGGGAGGAGGATGCAAGCAACTTCGGCTAAAGTTTTTGGAGTGTGGCAGGGGGCTCTGAGCTGAGCCTGGGACAGGGAGTTGTGGTGCAGGATGGGGTTCAGGGTGCAGGCTCTGGGAAGGAGTTTGGGTGCAGGGGAACTTAGGGGTAGGGCTGGGGTTTGCGGTGCAGGAGAGGTTCAGAACGCAGGCTCCAGTTGGGTACCACTCACCACATGTGGTTTCAGGGTGGTGGTGCAGTGGGGCTAAGGTAGGCTCATCCTTGCCTTGGGCCCACACTACTCCCAAAAGCAACCAGCAAACTCTCCATCCCTGCTTCCCCCTGCTCTGTAGAGGTGGGGTACAGGGTGGAGGGAGGGACACCCTGACATCAGCACCCCCTCTTCTTCTTCCTGTGTCGTGCACAGCAAGCAGGAGATTCCCAGGGGCAGGGGGGACCTCCAAGGTAGCGGGCAGGAGCAGCACAGTAGTGTTGAGAGGGGCAGATAAAGTGCCAGCACTTGACAGCCTCCTGGCCAAAGCTGGCATATCACCTGTCAGAGGTTCCAAGATCTACCAGTAGATCCTGATCTACTGGTTGGTAACCACTGGTTAATCTATTGAACAGACATCCATTTCAACAATGTGAATTTCTAAGAAATAAAAATGTTTCACTCTTCCAACTCAAAATAGTTAAGAATCTTCATTATTCAGGTTGAATCAAATCACATGAAGGCTGAGGTGCGTTAAAAGGAATTCAAGTATATGTTAAATGCCACAGTTTAAAAAGTTTGACTAGAGAAAATATTCCTGTAAAAAATTAAATACTGTATATTCAGATTTTTGCACAAGCAGTAAACAGAGCGACTGACCAAGCTATAGATTTAGTACCACTGTTAAAACACAAATGACACAAAGAAAAATCCCCAAACCTACAAACACACACAACAAAAATTTCACTGTATTTAAAAGGGGACAAACAACTGGCTATGGAAGTGTTCTAAAGGCTGATAACTTCCTTTTAACAGAATGTTTTCTGAAAAGATGAAAACAAATTAAAAATAGCAATTTAATCATTTAGCTCTTTGATCAAAACCAACAGTTAACTTCTCTTAACTGTACATTGCATTCCACATTCTAGCAGTAAGAATGTCTAAGCAATAGCCATTTCTGATTTCGAAGAAGTATGCCATGAAAGGGTTGATACAAACCAACACTATAATTGCAAGTGGTACAGATAAATCCTGGATCAAAACACGAATTCAGCATGGTCAAAAAACTCAATAATATTCATGCAAACTTGTAGAGTTATATCAAAAGACCTATTGTCCTAAAAAAAGAATGTACATTATCTACCATACTCATAGCTGTTCATCTGCTGCTGAAAGTGCCACAGCAGCAACCAAATCTAATTCTCCCAAATTGTCAGTCTACTTTGTATAGTAGAAATAGGGAATCAGGCTCTTAGGAACAAAAGTAACTGCTCCAAAGTGCTTTCCTTAAATTGAAACAAAAGATTCCAGAGTGAAATACTAAAAAACCCCTCTATTACTGATCACAGAAAGTACCATACCAATTTCAGATCCATTGCTGAAGTTTCCAAAATATTGCTCCTCCAGAAAATATGGAGAATTATATATCTAGCATATATTTCAATTTTAAAGATGGCAAAGAAGGTAGGCTGTGGGGTTTTGTTTTGAGAAATAAATATATAAAGGAATAAAACAAGAAATTTTTCCTGTTTTAGCCCATGCACAGCTCAAGGAGAGACATACATGCTGTATGTGTATTTTGAACGCAAGTCAATAGGAATAGATAAATAGATGGAAAATATAGTCAATGATAACTGTAGTGATTTTTTATTTCACTAAATTTGGTTACCCTTGAAAGCATTTTGGGCTGCACTAGTTGCTGCTGTAGAGGCTGCATTTGCTGCAGCCGTTTGTACAGTTTTGTTGGACATCACTCCTGTTGCAAACTCTTGCTGGGCTTTCTCAAAACTAGCACCGGTTGTGCGGTATAGGCCATGCACCTACGACAGAAATGGAGGGGAAGGGAAAGGAGAGAAACAAGAAAGTTAAAATGAGTTATATCTATATTTGTGGATGCTACCCTAAAAGTCTATAGACCAATTAAATTAATAGAATAATGGAGATTCTGTTGCCTGCTTACAGCTGTATGGAAGATAATCAAACCAGTAAACTTTAGACCCCAGCATCTACAGCAGGGTTCCAAAGAGGATGGAGAGAGGCTGTTCACAGTAGTGATGGATGGAAGAACAAAGAGCAATGGTCTCAAGTTATTAGGGTTACCAGAGAGCTTCAGAAAAAATACCACACACACTTGATGGGGGGGTGGGGGAGGGAGAAAGGGGAGAGGGACTGGCTGGGAGGAGAGTGGAGCTGGCTGGGAGAAAAGGGGAAGCAGGGCTGGGGGGGTTGGGGACAGCGGGGCTGGCTGGGGGAGATCGGGAGG